GCAGGTGCAGAAGGGGATATATATTATATACGTATCAAACTTTATCAAATTATATACCTTAAACACATATACTGCATTTTATAATAATCAATTCTAAATAAAGCTGGGAAGAAAAATCTAATTCACCCAGACATGGTGGTGCTCCCTTGTCATCCCAGGACTTGGGAGGCTGAGGCAGGAAGATTACCATGAGTTTGAGGCCACCCTAAGCTACACAGTGAGTTCAAGGCCAGCCTGAACTTCACAGTGAGATCCTGTTTAAGGGGGGTGGGGAGGGGGATTAATGCAGCTGCATTTAGCACACTGACATTTGACAACTTTGTACAACCACTTCTATCTAGTTTCAAAATACTTCCATCACTCCAAAGTCAACCCCATAGCATTAAGCAGTTTCTCCCATTCACCCAAGCAATCACCAAATTATATGTCACCATGAATTTACCTATTCTGGATGTTTTATATGCATAGAATTAAACAATATGTGACTTTTTGTTTTGTGGAGTTTTCCTTTTTAGTATGTGACTTTTATGTCTGTTTTTTTCGGTGGACCCTCAAGTTACTACCAGCCTGACATACAGACAACTTCGGTTAATTAGGTTAATGGAAGAATCATCTATCTGCCTCTTGTTATCTATAGCGTGAGATTTCAGTTGTACTGACTTACAACCGAGTTGAGTTACAACCAGCCCTTGGGAACCAATCAAGCTCATTAAGTCAAGGGTCTTTTCAAAGGCATCAGGATTTTTTTACAATGTTCTCCAGGTGATTCTGATGTGGAATCAAGACAACCACAAGCAGATGAGAGGAGGAATTCAATTTAATTGAACAGCTGTTATGTGCAAGGACACCACATATCTTATTTATTCCTTATAACAGTCTATGTATATCATTCCTGTTTCACAGATGGAAAAATCAAAAGCTCAGAGAGGTGAAGTCACCCACTTGACATCACACAAATTTTTTTCACTGGGGAGTCTCCCTATGCTATTCAAGCAAGTGTGAAACTTGTGGGCTGAACAGATCACCGTGCCTGGGACTAAGGCACTTGCCACTCTGTCTGGCATCACATAGATATTGAAAAGCAGATCTGCCAGATTCTGCAGTTACTGTACTGCGTTGGCACTGTGACCAGAATCCCTCTCCCAAAGAGGCATTCTGAGAGGAACAACAAATGAAAAATATAGAAAAGAACTTACTGCAATTTGCGGAAACACTCATTTTAAAACCAAGAAACTAAGACTCAAAAGAAGTAAGCTGCAAAGCATAATGGTGCATGTCTGTAATCCTGGCACTCAGGTGGAGTCCAAGGCCAGCCTGGGCTACATAGCAAGACCTTATCTCCAAAAAAAAAAAAAAAAGAAAGAAAGAAAGAAAAAGTAAGATGATTTGGGCAAAGCCATACAGTTCACAGAGGCAGCACAGTAGAAGAATTTCCTCAACTTTAGTTAAAGAACCTTTACAAAGACAGCACTTCATAACTCCCTGCCAACTGGTACTGGGGATTGAACCCAGGGCATTCTCACTGAAGTACATCTGCAGGCCTTTACTCTTTTTTTGAGACAGGGTCTTAAGTTGCCCAGGCTAGGCTCAAACTTGAGACCCACCTGCTTTAGCCTTCCAGAGTAGTGGAATTATAGGTGTGTGCCGCAACTCCCAGCTATCACTTGATACTTACCATTTAAAAGTTAATGGTAAGAAGCTGAAGGCTTTAAGACAATAAGCCTGGGATTTAGCTCAGTGGTTCTGCTGGCTGCCTCACAAGCACAAGGACCCGAGTTCAATCCCCGGTACCAAAAAAAAAGACAAGGACCAAAATAGGAATGTCCCTTCTCACTACTCCATCATACACTTAGGAAGTCCTCCCTACATAGCACAGTGGCCAAGAAAAGGAAGTAAATGCCCTATAGACCAAAAAGGAAGAAATAACACTCTCTGCAGATGACATGATTGCCTATGCAGAAATCCTGAAGATTTGACAGTTTTCTCCCCCCACCCCCAAAAAAAACTAATAGCAATTAAAGCAAGGTTACAAGACCCAAGGTTCACATACATAAAAGATAAAAGTCAGTCCTAAGCTGGGCATAGTGGTGCACGCCTGTAATACCAGCACTTGGGAGGCTTAGGCAGGAGGATTGCTTTGAGTTTGAGGCCGTCTGGCTACGTAGTAAGTCCAAGACCAGCCTGAACTACATAGCAAGACCCTGTCTCAAAAAAAGAAAAAAGTCAGTCCCCCGTATACCACTACATCTTTTTTTGGTTGTGTGGGAGATTGAACTCAGGCCCTCACGCATGCTAGGCAAGTGCTCAATTCCACTGAACTACATCCCCAGACCCCAACTGCCTTTTTTTACAAGAACAATAAAAAACTGGAATTTGAGATCAACAAATACCATGTAGTGCTAGGAATTAAGACCAGGAGTTTCTTTGGCCTTATCTAACAATAATCTTTTTTTGTTTTTAACTTTACATTTTATACAATAGCATCCCCTCCTTTAAGCAACCCAAGAGGCAATACAAGAGAGAAGAAGGATGGGGCAGTTCTACACAAGGGATTCATTTCTGAAGACCACACCTCATTCAGACTCATCTAACTCAGGGCTAATACTTCCACAAAATAATGGTATAGTGAACACGAACACATACACACATACACAGGTCTACCAGTGCTCTGCTTTTTTCTCTCCCTTACTGACTTTATATTTATTGAGCTATTCTAAAATTTTATTCTTTTTATTACATACTTGTCATATATTCATTATAGGAAATTCATACTTGTACATTATACATCTTAATTTTTTCCCATTCCCCTCCCCACCTCTCCCTCCCCATTTACACAAACTTTGTTTCAATTTTTTGCCTCCCATTCTTTTTTCCCTTTTCCCTTCCCTCTCTTTCCCCTTCCCTTGTTCCCCCTTCCCATTTGAACACGTTCTTTTTACTTCCCAGCATCTATCCCCCATTATGCTCCTTATTTACCCTTTAGGTTTCTCACACAAGAGAAACAATGCAATATTTAAACTTGTGTGTCTAATTTATTTCACTTAAGATTATAGTCTCAAGGTACAACCATTTTCCTACAAATCACTCAAGTTGATCTTTCTTTATGGCAGAGTAGTACTCCAATGTATATAAATACCACATTTTCTTTACCCATTCATCTGTTGATGGCCATATGGGCTGTTTATAAGATTTAGCAATTATACATTATGCTGCTATAAACATGGGTGTGCATACATCACTGTGGTATGATGCTTTTAACTCTTTTGGGAAG